CTGATATCCGTTAAAATTTTTGCTCCAACTGAAAATCAATAAATTTTCCGGCCTCTATATGTAGATGTTTCCAAATTTTCCGGTTATTTTGTACTATTCTACAATATATTAAACTGAAAAGAGTGGCATAGATACAATTTGAGAACATTTTGCATAAAATATTCCTTCATTACTCATTTTAATTGTTAATTCTTTTATTTTAATAGGCTTTTTGGTACCTGCATTATTCCTATACTTATTTTAAATGTAAATAAATTAAAAATTATCGAAAAGACTTTAAAGCAGTCCTGACAACATTAGAAATAAGAATACACCTCATTTTAATGCACCGTTATATTTAAGAGCTGTATCCTTTTAATGTTTGTAAACTTGGTTATAGGGTGTTGCATTTAAGAAATAATTTACAAAAACACAAAGTATTATTTAAAATTTTTGCAATTAGAATTTTTTGTAAATCGGACTTCACCTTTTTAGTTTCACCATGAACGTAAACAATAACAAATTGTGACATCAGTGACCAATCTAGTGAAGAGAAAAAATAATCAGCTGATTGAATAACACCACCATGGCGAAACTAATAAGGTGAAGTCATTTCAACAGCTGATCGTTTTTTTGTCCATGGAAATTTAGCCCGAAGTTGTCAAACTCCATATAAAAAAATTCTCTCTCAAACCGGACGCTGTCAAACTACATATACAAAAAATTTCATGAATTCGCAGCAAAATTAAATGACTTCACCTTATAGTCTATTCGCCTTGAATACCACCTTATGTGAATTCGCCATACTGAATGATAAATAACAAGGCGCAATTTACATGAAGACTTTTCAGACGTCTGTTTTTTCCAATTCTCTTTTGAGAATCTTCCAAAAAATCATGAACATTTATACGGTGATTTTTTACATGCAACTATGCATGTCTTTTTTTGATGTTTAATTGTATAATCCTTTTTAATTACTTATTCGTAATAAAAATAAAATGAAATTTTTAACATAAAAACCATTTAATTTGATTTAAAAAAATTTAATTACACGCTATAGTATTTTTTTAATGCAAATTTTAATGTTTTCATGTAAAAAAAAGACATAATTATTTTTTTACATGAGCATAATATCAACAGTACGAATGAGTTTAAAGAGGAATGTCAAAAACAATCATGAAAATCCCAAATCATGTTTGTTTTCTTACCCCCCATTCTTCTCTACCCCGCTCACCACCAATCATCGACAAACATGAAAACAGACGTCTGGGCAAACATGAAAAAAATCATCGTGTAAATTGGGTGCAAGTTAGAGTGCTATATTCGGCTGTGCCGAATCTTAAATACCCTCCACTATAAACAGGTTATATAAATCATCAAATATTAACGATGGATTTCAATTCACCATAATATATCCTTCATTTTCATTACGCCTTAAAATATATCATGTAAAACGGAACTAACACTTAACAGGCTGTTACATAATGTACTAAATGTAACAAATGTTAAACTATGATAAATGTTGTGTACCTGTGTGAAAACGGAAATTATGTATTACAAAACTTTTTATATAATTTTGTTTGTAAAAGCATTTGATGCGATTATTATGACTTTAATTTTTCGGAAGTTATATAGAATTGAAATTGTAGTATTATAGAATATTACTAATTTGATATAATTAATATTAACATTAATAAGAGAAATAGACACATTTAACATAAAAGCCCAAAAATAATATGTTTTAACCCATAAAAATGTAAAATCAAAAAATATAATTTTTTTCGCTTCTTCGGAAGTCATTTAACATAACTTCGACAGAAAAATGTAATTCTTTTGGAAGAACTTCGTTTTATTTTTGCTGGGTAGTAACTATTTTCCAAATTGAAGGATGTGCGATTCCTGATTTGGCCCATGTATGGAAAAAATACTTTAAAGAATTAATTTGATTCTCTAAATTTAAACACTATTTATTCAAGCGTACATACATAGCTAAATCGACTAAAAATTTCATAAGGACCCACAATATTAATATGTCTATACCTTGTTGGGTCTGAGGTTAATATTTCTCAGTGTTACAATCAGAATAACACACCTGCTCCAGTGATGGTGGTGGAGGTTATAATAATCGAATTTTGAAAAGATACAGAATATTTCCTTTCAGAATCTAATTTTTGAAGAGGAATTACAAAAGTACTTATAAATTTTACGACAATTAATTTTGTTTCTTAAAAAAATTTAAATATTTTGAATTAAAGACTGATTCGAACCACGTATGCTCTACTTCTCATCCCACTGTTCTACCCACAACACCGCTGATTTACTTTTCCCTTGAATAAGTAATGTTTGTCATATAAAAATACTATATTCGTTTCTGTGTGTACAAAAACAAACAGTTGCTGAATACCTTTTGTCAACACTGATTTTGCTGAATTGCATAAAAATTAAACAGTTACGTTTTCTCATTGAGCGATTTTTTTGATTGTACGTTAGCAGTGAAAATCGTACTTTTATGTAAAAATCACCACTTATCAAACAAAATCAAGTGTAATGAATGGTGCAGTGGTCAGGGCATAGAACCGGTAATTTTAAAGGTCTAGGTTGAAACCCAGTCTGCTTGTGTAGTTTTTATTTTTTGTAAAATGAAACAACTTGTTTAAAACTATTTTATGGTTGGTATATAAAATTATGGTCCGATTTTCTACATAGTTGATCCTATATATATATATATATATATATATATATATATATATATATATATATATGTATATGTATATATATATATATATGTATATATATATATATATATATATATATACATATAAAAATACTATATTCGTTTCTGTGTGTACAAAAACAAACAGTTGCTGAATACCTTTTGTCAACACTGATTTTGCTGAATTGCATAAAAATTAAACAGTTACGTTTTCTCATTGAGCGATTTTTTTGATTGTACGTTAGCAGTGAAAATCGTACTTTTATGTAAAAATCACCACTTATCAAACAAAATCAAGTGTAATTAATGGTGCAGTGGCAGGGCATAGAACCGGTAATTTTTAAAGGTCTAGGTTGAAACCCAGTCTGCTTGTGTAGTTTTTATTTTTTGTAAAATGAAACACTTGTTTAAAACTATTTATGGTTGGTATATAAAATTATGGTCCGATGTGTCTACATAGTTGATCCTATTATATATATATATATATATATATATCATAGATATATATATATATATATATATGTATATAGTATTATAATATGTATTATATATAGTATATATACTTATTATATATATATATATATATATATATATCATATTATATATATATATATAGATCTATATATTATATCATATTATATATCCTCTATGTATATATAGATCTTCTCGCTCTCTATCTCTCTCATCTCTATCTCTATCTATCTCTCTCCTCTACTCTATCTCTAGATCTTGTCTCTATCTCGCTCTCTCTAATCTTCATCTCTCTCTCTATATCTCTTACTCTCTCTCTATATATATATCTCTGTTCGTCGCATCAATCTTCATCTTCCCAATTCATTAACTTATCTGCAGTAGTTTCTCTAAAAAATATAAAAAACCAGTCGAAAAAGCAAGATTTTTAAGAGGTTGTCAGAAACTTTTACCCATATCTCTGAATCTATTGGACTGTACCAAACTGTACCAGATGATAATGAATATTTTGGGTGAATTTTATGAATTTCCGTTGCTTCGTTTTATACTGAACGGAGATAGCAAAATCGACACAGAATTTCATAAGGATCAAGAATATGTGTACCAAGGCGAATAGACTATAAGGTGAAGTCATTTCATTTTGCGGCGAATTCATGAAATTTTTTATATATGTAGTTTGACAGCGTCGGGTTTGAGAGAGAATTTTTTTTATATTGAGTTTGACAACTTCGGGCTAAATTTCCATGGACAAAAAAACAATCAGCTCTTGAAATGACTTCACCTTATTAGTTTCGCCATGATGTGTACTTTGTTGGGTCTCAGATGAATATTTCTTGATGTTACACACGGAATAACAAAGTGGAGGGTATAAAAAGGTTAAATTTATCTTTAAAAAGCTAATCTGGCAACACTGTTGGCTACACAGGAAAAACTGAAATTCAAAATCAATCAAAAAATTCATGAAGTCATTTTTTTTTTTACTAAAATAGGACCTATCGTAAAATTCGTAAAATCAAGCACTCAAATTCGTAAATTCCTTTTTGAAAAATTTCAGGATTTTTCTTATTTACGAAGAACATTAATAAATATTCGTAACATTTCCAAACAACTATTTTAGTAAAACAATAAAACAAGTTATTTGTACTGAAATTCAAGCAAATATATTATCTGAAACAGATTATTTTTTGTATTTTGGTAATAATTATATACAAAATTTTTTATTGAATCTATAAAAATTTTGTTAAGAATTATATATTGTATACTAACAAAAATTTTACTGATTCTATAAAAATTAAATTTGCACCAAGCTTATTACTATTGCCGGAGTTAGGGGGTCAAAGTTGGTAGTTTTTTTTTCATATGAGTGTTAACTTTCCACCTATTGGTCCTAGCAAAAATTGCCCAAAGAGTTTAAAAAGCTATGTATTTCTTTACTGATTCCAAAAAAAAGATTTTTTTTTTAATTTAAAAAAAGTTCTTTAATTTTTAAAGAAAAAAATAATTTCTTTAAAGCATTTACAATTTCCTTTAAGATCTTTATAGTCGCTTAATGGGATGCGAATAAGATTTTTTCAATATTTGGCACTTCATATTCCTATTTTTCAAAATTTAAAACGAAAAGTAGATACACGAGGCTTGTGAATTGGACAACTGTTTATACCATTTTACATAAAATTCAAGAGGAAGCTGATTAAAAGGCTATAAGCACATTATTTATTTAGAAATGGTTTGCAAAAAGCTGATTTTTTACAACTAACATTAAACACAACCTTTTCAAATTAATATTATGATGTCTAACTTTGAACTTTAATAAAACAATAATGTTTTACTTTTTTAGAGATAAGGATGCCGCTGAAAGACTTTTATTAAAATATGGCTTTGTTTTAAGTGAGAATGAAACAGAATTACAGACGGCTCAATTTAAATGGGACAACGTATGTCCACTCTTTTTATCGTGTATTCCAGTCGACAGAAGCGAATTTACAAAGTCAGATCTTGTTGTGAAACATTATTTTATAATGCAGGTTGGTATATGTTTGTTTCTTTTTAAAATAAACTACTGTATGCCACTAAGGTTTACAAACGATGTTACTTAAAAGAATTTTACATTATTTGATATGTATATATATGTAATATAACGGATCTTTTATTAGAACACCTGTTGCCGCCACTGTCTATTGTTTTTATTGTTAACTTAACATTCTAAACATTACTAAACACATCTTTTGTAAATGTCATAATTTTATATGTATTTGTTGAGTGAATTTTTTATACGAATTTTTATACCCACTATCAAAAAAGATGGGGGGTATATTGATATTGGCCATAGACCCACAGTATATATATTCTGGGTCCTTATTAAATTCTAAGATGATCTAGCCATATTGAAATCATGATAAGGACCACACGGGAGGAGCTAGACATTTTAAATTTTGCATAAATATTCTATTGCTTCTATAAGCGGCAAGCTACACACCACGCGTCATTTTGATCTCTCTTTTAATGTTTTTTAAGACTATTACTGTTTTAAAAATTAAAATTTTAAGTTTTTGTATATTTTTTAATATTTTTTTTCCATTGTTGAAGAAATTTATTTCATTTTAGTTTATTTCTCTACACAGCTGCCGACACGTTAAAAGTTGAAAGTTCCAGAACTTTACGCGGCAGACGCGTTACAAACTACAATGTGTAACTTGTTAAATGAAAATACAGTATTTCAACTTTTTTTGACAGAAGCCCATAACCCGTTGCTGCATAGAACGCGCATTGTGTACTTCCACCTTAAACCGCTGGACATGGATATGACTTCACCAAACACTTTATTTTGACGCATATTGATCATTTTTGATGAAAAATAGAAAAAGTGTTTTCGAAGGATATCGCAGGATATTATCTTTTTAGCATGTAGTGACATCAAATTCTAAAAAAATAACTTATTTTTGTTTAGAAATAACCGTTTACTGTAACTGTGAACTCAAAATTACACTCTATATCGAGAAAAATGAAAAAAAAAATCTTGGAACACCGGTGTCCCGTATACGTGAAAGAGATATGAAGCCCCCTTCAGAAAATGGTTTTAACGCTCATTACTGGTTTTAAGATCGGTCCATAAATGACCCTACTCCCCATATAAGGTCCCCTTCTGAAAATGACTATAATGCTCATTACTGGCATGAATATAGTGACGAAATTATACACACATAAATTTTATGCGAGCCAAAATCTCTCTACAAAATTTACTGAGGATCGGTCCATAATTGACGCTACCTCCCATACAAAGTCATCTTTACAAAATTACTTCAACGCTCATTACTGGTTAAAAATACGAGTATAGCGATAAAATTTCACACAAGTTCCTCGCGAACCAAAATCTCTCTACTATATTAGAGAGATCCATAACTGATCCTACCCCCCCTATTAGGTTCCCTTCAGAAAATTACTTAAACTATCATTGCTGGCTTAAAAATATGAGTTATAAAATACGGTTATGAAATTCGACATAAGAAACTTTTATACGAACGTTAATCTTGCTAATTACTGGCATAAAATGCGAGTACAGCGATGATATTCAATGTAAACAAGTTTTATATGAACCAATAATTGACCCATATAAGGTCCTCTTCAGAAAATTTTATGAGTATTAAGAAAATTACGAGTACAGCGAAGAAAATCGTCATAACAGAGTTTATACTTAATTCTTCATTCCGAATTTAATGAGGACTGATGTATAACTGACCATAGGCTCTATAAAAGGTTCCCTTCAGGAAAGAGTTCTGGTTATTAAAATACAAACAATAAACAAATTCTATACAAAACTAAATCTATGTACAAAATTGTATATGCCTTTTACACCAACCAAAAACTAGTAGTTTTTGGCTTTATTTGGTTTTTGTTTCAAAAAATACTGAAATTTCTTTATATGCCGTTTAGACCAAATCAAAAACCAGTTGGGTTTTGAAAAACTAAATTTCAAAAACCAATACGTTTATACCAACGGTTTTTGATTTCGTTTACCAATACATACACACCAGAAAATCATCTTTGCCACAAAATCCACTTTTTTTATTTTGGAAACCACTCTAATAATATTTTTTAGTGAAATTATCATTAAATTAATATTTTTTTCAACAAAATTTGTTAAAATTTGCTTTTATTTATTTCATTAAAAGCTCATATAAAGCTATTTTCGAGAAACCAGTGCTGGACATTTTTTTTACTTATTTTTATTGGGTTTTGATTGAGTTTTTATCAAAAACCAGTTGAAAGTAGTTTTTAATTTGTATGGAAAAACCAAAGAAATTTTAGTAGATTTTCAAACAAAAACCAAATAAAGCCAAAAACTTCTACTTTTTGTTTGGTGTAAACGGCATGTTAGTTTTTCCATATAAATTAAAAACTACTTTCAACTAGTTTTTGATAAAAAAAAAAACAATAAAAATAACAAAAAACCAAACTTCCATCTCTGGCTGAGCTTTTAAAAAGCTTTTTTTAAAAAAAATGTCAAATAGAAAAATAAATATTTTAAAATTTACAATAATTTGTGTTGAAAACAACATTAATTTCAAGTCAATTTAATAAAAAAACGTTAACAAAATGATTTCCCAAATAAAAAAGGGAATATTGCGGTAAAAATAATTTAAATGTATGTATTGGTAAGTAAAATTCAAAAACTCATGGTGTAAACGTATTGATTTTTGAATTTAAGTTTTTCGAAAACCAACTTGTTTTTGTTTTGGTGTGAATAGCATATTATGAGTATCGGTTCATAATTGACGCATATAAGGTCCTCTTCAGAAAATTACTCATACTCTCACGGTTTAAAAATTGAACAAAAATATTTTGTTTTTAAAAATTAATATTTTGTAAGTTCAAAAGAGCTCGGTCCATAATTGACCATATTCCAAATATCACCCTGACGTTTATAAGAGAGCATTACGGCACACGGCATACGAATATAACTCTCACTTGTTTATATTGTAATTGTAAATTCCACGCGGTTAATCATAAAATTGTCTCTCCTATAAATATAAGAAAAATATGTCCATTTTATAAAAAGAAGATATTCAAAAGAACCAAAAATAATTTTAATTCCGAGTACATATTTAGTTAAATATTATCAAGTTTAAATAAAAAACTAACACTTAAAAATTAAAACACTCAAAGGTTTTTACAATCTGTAGTGGAAGCCAGGAGCTTAAAAATAGCGAAAACAACTTTAAAATTAAATTAATAAACAAATATTGAAATAGAATTTATTCGAAAAAAATACCAAATTCTTGTACAGGCAAATGAAGACGATGATGATATGCCGTCAGTATCAAATTCTGTACATGAGTGACTAAATGAAAAACCGGATCGTACTGAAAAACACACAAGATCTGAAGAACAAAATTTTAATGAAACAATATATTTTGCATATCCCAAACGAACTGCAGCATCAACTTTACCTACGACAACTTTGACCACTTTTAACTGAGGGGACACCAACGTGCGACACGAGCAGTGTTGCCAAATTGACGGTTTTCCCGTCAAATCTGACGTTTTTGAAATACCAATTGCGGAAAAAATTGCCATTTAGCGGTTAACGTGAAATCTGGAGTTTTTTTTAACAGCGTTTAGCGTTTTTTAGCGCTTTTGCAAGGTTGAGTTATATAGTTTTTTTAACAAAAAAACAACCATGCAATTTGTTTTCGAGAGTCGAATAACGGTTAATAGAATAAGTAGAAAGCAAAAAACAAAAACGAAAAACATTATATTTCAAAAGAATTGTTGAATTGTAGTGTGTTTAAAAAAGTTAATAAATATTAAAAAAAGAGTTTTCCAAAATCAAAAAGTGTTTAAACAAAATATTTCAAAAGAAGATTAAAAGTGTTTTTAAATAAAAAAGAAAAAAAAAAAAACAAGTGCACATACTAAAAGTGTTAAAAACTAAAATGTAAGAATTTTTATATTTTAGTTAAGTTTTATTTTAAATAGTTTTTTTATTAAATAGATGCCCCCTCAGTATCAACAAAAGTTTCGTCGTGAATGGCTGAACCATGTTAAACTTAAAGGGTGGCTCACTCAATATGAAAATGATCCGTCAAAAAGTTATTGCAAGTACTGCAAATGTGTTTTGGCCGGGAAGTTAAGTGATTTAATCAATCACTCAGAAAGTCAAAAACATAAGTCTAGTGCGTCTATAAGAGGTTCTTGTTGGCGGAAACTTGATTTTAAGCCAGAAAAAGCTGATAGCTCAAAGAAACAAGAAATTGCGTTGGCGCTATTTACATGTCAACATTCCTCAAATAATTCTGTTGACCATTTAACGGAACTGTGCAAATCCAATTTTGAAGATGGTAAACAAATACGGATGCACAGAACGAAGTGCACAAATATTATTAAAAACGTTTTATCACCGCATTTCATGAAGGAATTAAGAATCGATATTGGTAATTCAAAATACAGTATCCTAATAGACGAATCAACTGATGTTGGAGTTGTTAAACTGTTAGGTAAACTTATTTTATTTATATAAATAAATAAGTAAACAAATAATGAAATTTACTTCTAGGAATTGTAATAATATATTTTAGTGCAAGCAAAAAAAAAATAGTATCCACATTTTTGGCCATCGCAGAGGTTGAAAATGCGGATTCTGAGGGCATTGCAAAAGTTATAATAGAAGAATTAAATAGACTAAAAATTTGTGTAACTAATATGCTAGGAATTGGAGTGGATAATGCCAACGTCATGGTTGGCAATAAAAAAGCGTGTACACGGAGCTGAAAAAGAGCGTCCCAAATTTAATTTTAATTAAATGTGTGTGTCACTCAATTCAACTAGCTGTTACAAACGCATGGAAAAATTGTATGCCAGCTCACTTGGAATTTTTAGTTAACGAAACTTATAATTGGTTTTCAAGAAGCTATATTCGCCAGCAAAGTTATAAACACATTTTCGAAGCCATAAATGATGAAAAGGTAAAAACAAATAATTTTTAAAAAAGTTAAATTTCGATACAACGAAAAATAATTCCTTATAG